AGTTTACATCAACTTTCCCTCTTTTATTTCGCATAGAAAAAATTGAATTTAATTCAAAACATTCTTCGAGCGCATTTTTATTAGAGGCACTAGTCATATACTATTGTCACTAATATCAGTTAAACAAGTTCACTAGGTTCATTAGTCCACAGCCTGTGGAAGTTAATCCTATTACTACAATTAGCTACTCTCGCATGGTACATGGCTCGCGCCACCTGAACCCACCACAAACAAATTGGACGAGTCAAACGCCAACACACCGACCTACGTTTCTGGCTGTAATAAATGACTGTGCGGGGATGATACTGAAACGTGGTGGTTACTGGAATTGTGTTGAGGGAATTGAACGGCTAAAATAACTACGAACTACAGGCAATATGGGCATAGCCCTAAATTATTAACAGGATAGAATATAGAGATACCAGATACCAGAGAGAGATTTTGTGCAATATATAGTCGTCTGTTTGGCTACCTCTGACCCATTCGTATTTCAGCCGTGAGGCAATTATGTTTACATGGCTGTATTTCGGTTTGAATGGTGAGTTATGGCAGTGAAATTAGAAGGTACAGAGTCATAATACCTTGTCAACAATGTTCTCATAAATGGTAACGCATGAATGACATCAAGAGGTAAAACAACAATTTGATTCATATTGTAAAAAATTCCGTTTTGTTTTCTCATTGTAATTATTTCTTATAATTGTTTGTACCGATAATAGGTTTACTATTGTAATCTTTTGGAGGAAACAATAAAGAGTTTCTATCCTAGATAGATATCTATCTATTAAATTAAAATTAAAAATTGTATTAAATATAAAAATTGTATGAGTCTTGGTTACTTTATTAAAGAATTTATTTATTATTATTATAATAATAATGTGATGTCCATGGCACTATTCATGTCTATGGATGACGGTATTTATCAGATGAGTCGTTAGCTTGTTCGTTATTCTAAGTTGTATAAAAAAAGAAATATTTTTTTAATAAATAGAAACACTAGTAACAATCACTATTTGCTTCCACAAAAGTTACGTGAATTGTAGCAACATATCGATTGTGATGGATAATGCACATACTGCAATGAAAATATTTAAATTTGGAACTCGAAATCGTGGGTTTATGATTGAATTTTGTTTTAGGACAAAAATTCTTCTACGACAATAAGTTTCAATCATCACAAAATAATAAGAAAATACACAAAAAAACTTTATCTTTTAGAAAAGTTATAAGGTTTACTCATTTAATAAATATATTAAAGCCTGCCTACAATTTTAAGACAATAATATAGATGCCAAAAATTCTATCATATAGCTTTCATTATGTTAAATATCTGTTTAAAGCAAATTAATATTTCATTTTATTTCATTCCAAAATAATCATAAAAATCAGTTCAGAATTGGCGACGTAATCGCAAACTACCCAAAAATACGGGTCAAGTTTAAGTTAGGCATCCAAGAACAAAACAGTGGAAATCGCATTTAATTTGGTGTAGTAGTTTTTACGTGATATCGGAGCAAACATGCAGACATACGAATTTAAAAAAAAAATATCGCTTTGACTTCTGTTACATCTTAATAAGATCTGTCGTATCAATTTTTCTTAAGTGTCTTCCATGTACAATACTGTCTAGTCGCAAGTGTATAGTGTATCGCAATTATATTGCCTATATTAACATATTAGTAATTAATATAGAATAAAAAGTTGGCAAAACAAATACGCATAAATACATACGTATTTAAATACAACTAAGTATATTGGATATTCACTCGATCATTGTATAATATAAACCAATGTAAACAAGATTTCTTTACCATTGACGGGTACCGAATCATCTCTAACACCTTAAGGCAGGTTCCTTGAATAATCCCATTTCGTGAGGCTTTCTGTAAACACGACGTATTTACCTGTTCCACGGTGTGATCGAATCGAGTGAGCTCTGGGATTTGACAGGTATTACCATGAGCTCCAAACTCATATTACATCTCGATCAAATGGTAATCTAACACTGATCTTGTTATCCAGAGATATTTACTGACGGAAGACAAATGAGTTGTTCGCACTTGGTAAGATCTTATTGTACTGTAAGTGTGAAAATACGGCGTATTATCGTGGAACGTTGTAGTGTTTTCAGTTTACGAATGGAATAATTTAGCCTCGATTAAATTCGTTTGTTTTGTCGGCTGTTAGGTGGTTTTTCCACGAAGAGGAGCGTTTTAAAATTGTGTTTACAATTTTAGTTTTTATAAGCAGTTAATAATTTTAACTATACCGATATATAAAAAAGTCTATGTTTTTATCCGCGCTAATTTCTATCTGTACTATAACAATTAATTAAAGTGCATTACTACGCTGACTAGGCTGCTTGGCATAGCTTTATTTATTAATAAACCTATCCCCTGGTAAGTAACTATGTAAAAACTTGTCATCTAAGGGGAGAAAGGATTTTAATAACGGGGACTAGCGACCCTATAACTAGCAATATAACCTGTCAGATTGACTTCCATGCAGTTCCAATGAAAATCCACATGTTTAATTATTTTTTCATTCGTCACGATGGGCCAACTGACTTACTTCCATCCTCGCCTATTATCACTCACTATTGCTCCATCACAGAGTTACCATTCCATTATGATCAATTAAAAAAAATCTGTCCTCAAATAAATAACGGTATAAAATATACACATTTACTATAATTTTATATCTTAAAAATTTTCTTCCATTCTAAATTTATATTTCTTCGTCTTATTAAATAATGTCATAGATAGATAGGTACATTAGATAATTTTTTTTTGGATTTCTATGTATTTCTATGTATCATTTCTAAATTTCTGCACACAAACATCTTGTAGTCATTCGATGAAACACCAGCAAGTTGGAGGCAAATACATCAAATTGCGGATATATATATATATATATATATATATATATATATGTATATATATATATATATAGTAACAACAATATTCCCATGTAAAAAAAATGTTAATTTTTTTTGACAGGTGCCAATTTCCATTAATGTCGATCCAAAAAGAAAGGTTACTGGATATTTTTCATCATAGTTGGTCTCTAAAGTAGAATAACAAAGATGATAACTCTACATAAAAGCTAGTATAGCTAACCATAACAACATAGTAATACTGCTTAAAATTTATCTCTGGATTCCAAGCCTCTCAAATCTAAATATCATTCAGGAAGCAATAAGAGTTCGCATTGGAAAGTCCAGGTTTTCATATTTTTATTAAATTGCTGCGAGCGATGCGAACCGTCAGCAACGGAAAATAAATTTATGTTTAAATTTATAAACCGAGACTATTCGAAACCGTATTCTTATTAACAAAATAAAAGAAATAGTAAGTTTTATTAAACTAGAAATTTCATATCAATGTTTGGCGATTACAGTTATTTTGTTTAATGTATAATTAAACAAAATAAGTAGGTAGTATATACCGTTACTGGAATTAAAGAAAAAAATTTCAAATCGACCAAGCACAAAGTTATTAAAAAGTTATTAAATTAAAATCGTTGATGGCACTTACAAATATATAAGTATCTATCTTTAAAAAATAAATTTAAATATATTAAACTAAAAGGAAAATTTTTCCTTTACATTATTAGTAATAAAGTAAGAATTGTGTATATTACTATTTTTATATGTTAACAACAGTATGCCATAGTATGTGGTCCATTCAATAGCTAACAAAACCTTCGCATGCCTGCAATAGCAGGATCATATTACTTAAACGTTTTTAATCCGTTAAACGGCTTTAGGCTATTTTTAATCAAGCTCGTGGTATACCGAAGTAATCTGATACTACACTATGTGGGTCTAATCTAGCTCTCGAATTTATACTGTATGAATGGTGACATATGTGAAAATAGAAGATACTTATAGATATATTTAAATATATATCGTACCATCCGACAACTGTCCACTGCTGAATATAGACCCATCCCATAAAATTTTGCCAGTAGTTGCTACGCTTGGTGGGCGGGTTGGCAACCGCAGTTGGGATTTGATGATATTTTAAGAGGGACGCTGCTGCCCATCTCTCGACCATTTAGTTCCCTTAGTCGCCTCCTACGACACCCAGGGGAAGGAAGGGATGATTCATATATGGTATAAGCGAAATATATAATACTTTATATTGAATAACGTAACTCATTCCTTAAAATTAGTATTATTATTCATTAGTAGGTTTCCAATTTATTTCCTAGAAAAAAAATATATTACCAGAAACTAGAAACGAAAGATAACAACCTGAGAATTACAAGATATGTACATATCGATTGTTGTGTAGTGCTGTTGGTATAGATACATGTTGTTTTTTTTTTCGAGAATTTTAATTTATTTTAGATTTGTGTAATATATTATTTTTGTAGAAAATCAATTTTTAGACCCTATTAAAGAAGACATGCACTAGTTCCAAAAACGGATTAAGTTAATTAACAATTCATTATTAGTATAGATTAAATATATAACGAAACTTTAAAAGTATCTTTGATTAACTTAGATTATATAATATTAGAAATATTATTGAAATATGGGCATTTTGAATGTTACGTTTACCAGTCGATAAATAAATTTATCCCTTGACGAACTAAAGTCGTGAGGATATTTATCAATTCTTCTCTTTACCTTGCAAGTCTTACATCTTAAATGTACTCCAATATTCGTTTGTGAGTTGCTAAATTATTTAAAGTCAAAACAATTATGAAAGTTTATGAGTAGCGTAGAATAACAAGATGCCGGAATACAGAATAACTTTGCATTTTTCCTTTATGCAGTTATAAAATACAAAACAACAGAGGAAAGTCGTGAGCAATACATTTTGTCGTGGAAGCATCAGGCAAAGAGCGATTCTATTAATAATTCTAGATGCCGTGACGAGGTTGGCTTTCTAAATTTTTCTCTTTTTACTTTATCTGCAGATACAACAAAGTATACACGTGTATTTTTATAACACATGCAAATAAGGACGCGTGATATTTATTGCCGTTTTCTAAAAAAATATATATTTATTTCGTACAACAAAATATGTGATTATAATTAATAAAAAAAAAGATTTTCTTTTCCAGAAAAAAAGGTAAAACAGCTCTAAAAGTATACACCGTAAGATTCCATCAATTAAGCATGGTAAGTGTAAAAAAAACACTCATAATAACTTATATGGGATAAACTCACAATGGACAACAGGATTGAAAGGAAAATACCCGATCAAATCTTAAATTAAAATAGATAATAATTAATAATTTAGTAACACGTTATGTAAAGAAAAAAATAAGAAAATAAAATAGTTAAAAATTTCCTCATTTTAAAATTTGTTGAAAACGAGATACAAACTAAATAACTACCACACTAATAATGATTTAGTAACATATATAAAAAATAATGAAAATAATAAAAGTAGTTGAAATTTTTCCCTAAAATAACTAATAGATTAACAGTCATAACCGCATAGTTCCTTATAAAGTAAGTAGCGCTGAGAAAGGATATCACATTGGAAACTTATATCAAGAGTTCCATATAAGAAATTGTAGGGAATTGAGAACAAAATCTGCTATACTTTAGTAAGTGTCATCTGTCAAATATCAGATCACATAATATGATAAAACATCACTCTTGATATTAGTTTTTCCTACATTTATTTCTGAATTTCTACAATCATATCGACAGTAATTGTAATGTAATAATTACTGTTTTAATTTACATGTAATTAGATCGAAAAAAGTCGACTAGTTTCGAAATCAATTAGTGATCCTTAATCATGAGCGACTGCGTTTTTTTTTTATTTTTCCTTTGATTAACTTATAAAACTTATTAACGTATACTAGTAAGTGTTAAAACCATTTAAAAAAAATTAATATAGCGAAAAAAGAAATAAATTGTGAAATCATACGACGTAACTCGAAATCTGTTCACACTTGACTTTCTTTACTTTAAATCTTGAATCGTTTCTTAGCTTTTCCTTGACAAATGACGACGCATTCTCCTTTTCCCATCGGCACCGTACTGGTGGAAACAGTGATGGCGTCGATCCAGGGCAGTAATTTACTGAAATGATGTAACATAATTTTTAATGGAGATATTTTTCATCGGAGTCTTCCAGCACAGGTATTTTATGTTTATAATAAAACCTCAACCCACGTTCTAATCATATATTAAATAAATTGAATAAATTTTTATTCTTTGTAACTTTATTTTTGAAATCTTAATATATTATTAGCTTCTTCTGTTAATCTAAATATTGAATTTAATTATTTTAATTTATTTATAACTAAAAAAATAACTTGCATTTTAATAAAACTATTTACTGTAAGATTTACAATTTTTTTTACCTTTTATTCTGTCATCATCATAAGGTTATAGCGGCATGTCCCTGACATAATTTATTTCAATGGAACTTACCTACTAAACAGAGTTGAATAAAATTTAGTATACAAATAGGTTATGTTTGAATTTAGGAAATAGATTACTTTTTATATTGATTCTAACACAAACAGCTACTAATTAAAATTTCTAATAATTAACAATTATGTTACCGGAAAAAGATATATGGTCCATTAAAATAACAAAGTAGATCACTTTAAAACTTGGCAGCAGCGTTTTCCTAAAAGTTTTCTCACTTTGAAACTGAAGTTTCACTGTTCAAAGAAGTAATGTGAATGAATTGTGTCGGAGTGCTACCTTAGCCTGTAGTTTCTATGCGAACGAATGATCAAGTCAATGAACGGCTTGTCACGCGATGATCCAATTAGAGAAATTAATTACTTCTCCGAGTTTTTTTTTTTTTTTATTGTGTAAAATATATGATTCAACCGATAATGACTGATATTACCAGAAGCATCACTGACCTTCACAGAATCCACATTAATTTTACATGTTACATAATAGAATCAACATTACATTCAAACCGCAACGTATGTTAGCACGCAAGGCGGTTGTTTAACCCCGGACGCAAAAGAGGGGTATTATAAGTTTGACGTATCTGTGTGTCTGTCTGTGGCATCGTAGATCCTAAACGAATGTTTTTTTTTTTTTTGTTAGAAAGCTGACCATATAGAGATGCATCTTAGCTATAATTTATAAAGATCTGCTCAGGTGTTTTAGGGGTTAGTTAAAATTTTTAATTTTATTTATATTTTTGATGGAAGAATTAACCGGCCAGTTCTCCAGAGATACCCATGTAGACAGCCCTGTATAAAATACTTATAATGTTATAGCGATTATATTATTTCTATTTACACCTTGTTAATTTATATTTTTTTTTTTTGTTTTATTTTGTTTTATTTTCTATGCATATATCTACCACGAGTATATACGTAAAATAATTCTGGTTCATGGATCAAACGATTGGTGCGATTCCGTATTACTTTCAAATATTATCTTATATATTGGAGGCCGTAACTAACGTCTATTAGAAATACAAAATTAATGCACGCACGAGTAACTTTATCTTCGTGTCAATTTTGTCACACTTGGAGCCGTGTGCATCGTACGTGCGTGTATGATGCGACGTGACAAAACATAAATTCCCACAGAATTATTGATGAGAATGAAGAACTTGCTGCGGTATAAACTAATTTCTTATGGGCAAAGCTGCAGTAATACTATCCATAACCTATCGGAACAGTAAAATGAAGTAGAAAATACAAGAAATATTAATATGGTTAATTTATTGTAACAATAAAAAACCTGCGCTATCGGTATACGCTGGCGGGGTACCAGTGAGGGATGATAGGTGAGAATAAAAAAGCAGATCAGTCAGTCCGTCGCGATGAGTACACCTGGAATTCAACACCGTTGTTTCCAGGGGGGACCAAGTGGAGGTCGACCTGATAGGGTATGTTGCTAGCGATGGGACTGGTATTACTTACAACCTCCCCTGGTTGTTAGGGAAGTAGGAGTCCCATTACCAACAATATATCCTATCACTAGTAATAAATATAATTAGAATTAGGTAATAATAATGTAAAAGATAGGCTAATACATAAGTGCATAAACGAATAAACAACAAAATAGTAAAGACAGACAGACAAACAAAAAAGAACCCAGCAAAATGTATTCCCTGTATATATTCCCACCTAAGCTTAAATACATTAGTTAGTAAGTGTGTATTAAAGTATATTGTGTAACAAACCTGGAAATTAATATCCAGGCTTAAAGAAGAAAACAAAAAAGCAATATACCCTATCAGATTGACGTTCACGCTAATTCCTAGTAAATTTATCACAATAGGTAAACTGACTTGATAACATCCTCACTTATCGTCACTAACTAGTGCCCTGCACCACCAGCGTATAGCGTTAGCGCAGGCGGGGTTACCATTCCATTATAATCCATTAAAAAAAAAACTAGTGCCCTGCCAGTGTATAAAAATAGCACAGGTGAGGTTACCATGTTATCATAACCCATTTAAATCTTTAGCCACATTCTCTTTTTTATAGGTACTAAACTGTTACTTTATTTCTAACTGTTAGTATTCTTACTTTATTCACAACAAAGATACCAGAGGGAGACTTTGCACAAAAGTCGTTTGCTTGGGCACCTCTGTCCCATTCGTGTTTCTACCGTGAAGCAGTTGTGTTTGCATGGCTGTGTTTCGGTTTGAAACGTGGCATATAACAGTGAATTTACAGAGTACAGAGAAATAACACTTAAGTCCTCAGGAATGGCAACGCATGAGGAGTATCATGGACGAAACAGTGTACTCTATTATGTCCATGATACTGCTGATGTCTATAGGCGACAGTTACCACTTCCCATAAGGTGGGCCGTCAGTTTGATTGCATTCTAAGTAGCACAAACAAAAAGATGTTTACATTTACACTTACAGCTAAAATAATAAATATTATTCAAAATATATTGCGTAGCTGTTTATTAAAATTATTAATTAAAATATACACGTAAACGAACCATAAAACGACACAAAAATCAGAATCTGTTTATTATAACAAAATTATTCCAAACCTCATGATTCTTAATCACTCGTAGTCATTAATATCACAGGAAACGCTATTACACCATAAAATTGTTGATTTTTCAGTGATCGCCTGAAAAAAAATTGAAACGATTTACCGTAATTTTTTTTTTATATATATTTAATGCAGACAACATTTTTTTATTCAGCAGTTACTGCGATGTAATATTGTACATATGCATAGTAACATTAGAAACGGAAGCAACAGGTGGTAACAACTATACGGCCCTATGGTAGCCTATGAACGCCTACAATACCAGAGGCATTACAATTTTTACTTTTAGTTACACAACGATTTTTTTATAACACGTAGAACGAAACAAGGCTAATGTACTAACTGAGGGGAAAGAGATTGTTAGTAATGGAGACTGAGAATCCCATTGCTAGCAATATATCCAACCAGGTCGACCTCTTCGCGGTTCCCCCTGGAAACTATCATGGTTAATTCCTAATGAATTCATCATGATGGGCTAACTGGCCTGTTTTTATTCTCATCTATCACCCTTCACTGGTACTCCGCCAGCGTATCCCGTTAGCGCAGGCGGGGTTATCATACCATTTTCACCTATAAAAATGTACTAACCGTCCCCTGTAAACACGAACATCACAAAATACATTGCAATGTCCATCGTACACTCAAGATGTTTTCCAGGGCTAACCACATGGAGGTCGACATTATAAGGTGCATTACTAGTAATGGGAGTGTTAGACTCCATTACTAACAATCCCTTTCCTCCCTGAACTATAGCATATATTATATATACTAGTATAGTACTATATTATCTGTGACTTTAGTGTTATGCCTGAGCCTCCATACTCTGTAATTTCACTGTTTTATTACCACCCTTCAAACTGAAATAGCCGTACAAATACAGCTAATTTATGGTAGAAACATAAATGGAACAGAGGTACCCCATGCAGATGACTTTAATACAGTCACTCTCTCCCTCTCTCTAGTATCTCTATATTCTATCCTGTACCCTTCTAATAAAAAATGATATCATTATTATATTAAACTCGTCTAAATTAGTTACCTTTTATTCTGTTTGTTATAATCTTCTATTTACATAATATATGACTGTATTTACAAGTATATTCCTTTTTTATGTCAAATAAGAATATTATTTGTATTTACTTTTAGTGATAACTATGGTAACAATAATAATTTATATAATGCTTTTATTAAGAACTAAGCATATTTTAAATATTCCAAACTGGTTCTAATTAGAATACGTATTTAGTGCTTCTTTCTTGTTTACTGTGCTGGATTTTTTATTCAGAACTACGACTTCATGCTTGACTTCAACATAATATAATAAGAGAATGTAGACTTAAAAATCTGAAAAAAAAATAGGTTGACATAATTAATGTTCTAAGGTTAGCTGGAAGGGATTGCTATTAAGCCGCCCATTCTTGTCTTGCATTCATTCATAATACGAATGATTATTAAAACCCAAAACAATTATTATTATTTTGGTCACTAGGATTAAGATCTACAAATTACGTAAAGCACAATTGATAGAAATTAAAAAAGAATGAAAATATCAAGTTCAAGCATAGTTAAAGATTCAACCAATAAAAATAAACAATTTTATGCTTGTTATGTGTAGTATAGTGTAATGTGGAGTGTTTGCACTCTATACTTAAATAATATACAAATCAACATAAATATTATATTATTTATGTGTTTTTTTTTTATTTATTTATTTTTTAATAACAAAAAAGTTAAATAAGGAATAATTAAATGAAAAATATATATTGATTTGTATATCTATATAAATCTAAATCTGTTCATTTATTACAGACATCTTTTCGAGAAAAGTATCAAGAACTTCGGAATATTATGTGTTTAATATTATATGTAAGTATATAGTACTTAATAGATGAAAATAGAAAAATTAAAAAGTAGTTTTTGCTGTTTCCGATAAAAAAAGAGTAAGTATATAAATAAAAAGTTTATTGTACTATACAAACCGAAATCATAGGATTCACCCCAGCTCTCAGTCCACAAGCAGCCTTAAACTCCATTATGGGTTGCACTTGTAATAGAAAAGGTAAGAAGATCTTCTTATTCGATATCGACATCTCTTCCCAGTGTATATTGCAATACACGACCTCTGGTATATCTTCACTCTTAAAATCATTAATAAATTCATTTTTTTTTATACAACGTAGAATGGCAAACAAGCTGACGACTCACCTGATAGAAAATGGTAACCGTCACCTATAGACATGAGCAGTATCATGGACATAACAGAGTATACTGTTTCGCCCATGATACCCCCCATGCGTTGCCATTCCTAAGGACTCAGGTGTTATTCCTCTGTACTCAGTAAATTCACGCCATATCCCACCCTTCAAACTGAAACACAGCCACTAAAACACAGCTGCTTCACGGTTGAAACACGAATGGGACAGAGGTACCCAAGCAATCGACTTTTGTCACAAAGTCTCCCTCTGGTATTATATTTATATATAATAATCAAATTATAACATGGTGATGCATATACAAGAGAGATATTTAATAGAAATTGATATGAAGTGTTTTAATAACAGCACTAGATGTCAAAATAATAATGTTTAAATATTTTGCCTGTCTATATGTTTGTTCTAGTATCATAGAAAAGCTATTACAAATTGGATTCAGTCATTATCATCTTCCTACCCTTATTCCAATTATTATTTGGGATCAGCGTTATATGTTATTCTCTTCCATTTTTCTCGTATCCATATTACAAAAAGATTTAGTTTATAGTTTTACGACTGGCCGCCTGCCTGACATCAACCCTCTTTGGGAATGCATTTGTTGGTGGTTTCCGTCACCTACGATATAGAGGAAAGGATTGAGGAAAAAGGAAGGAAATGTTGGAAATGCGTAAAGGAAATTGGTAAATAAGAGGAATAAGGGACTTTTTTGAGAAAGAAAATGGGGGTGCACTGCAGTTGTGGAAAGGACTGCGACGCATATTCGTATGCCCTTATTCTTGAATCGGACAGATTTCTAGAGAAGGACACCCTAGTATTCCCTATTATATTTCTGAAGGTTTAACTTAAAAACAAGTAAATTACACTACTTAAAGAAAGATCTTAGATATGGTACAGTCAACATCGTCTTCCATCAGACCTTTTTCCATTGTTTGGTGTTAACATAGCATACTCTTGTCTACTATTATATTGATTTAGTCATCGTTCGATTTGAAGGGTGGGATATGGCGTGAATTTACAGGGTACAGAGGAATAACACCTGAGTCCTCAGGAATAGAAACGCAAGGGAAGTATCATGGGCAAAACAGTATACTCTGTTATGTCCATGGTACTGCTCATGTCTATAGGCGACGGTTACCACTTTCCATCAGGTGGGCCGTCAGCTTGTTTACCATTCTAAGTTGTATAAAAAATAACATTCTTTCACAGTTTCTTTATATATTTTAAATCTTTTTTGCCTCGTGAATCATTTAATTTCAAAGTCATTTTTCTTTTAGAAGCAATACAATAGCTGTGTACGAATATGTCAACTACTTTCTATCCAAATTTTATGCTGTTATCGTATTATTAATATTATATATGTATATGGCTTCATCTTCATCATCAACTCAACCTATTAACGTTCTATTACTATGTATAGGTTTCATATTAATCAATATTCTGGTAACCAAGCGACTTGGTATTGGATTTTAATCAAAGAATTAATTTTATTTCCTTTTATAAGATGGATATTCCCCTAGGCGCCTTTTACAATGTTTTGGGGTTGCAAAGAAATGGTGATGTATTGTACTACAGTAATCACATAATTCAACAAGTCAGAATATATAGCTCTACATATATTTTTCGAAGCGTAATTTTTGTATTTATTTATTCATTCTTTATTGCACAATAAAACTTTATGCGAATAGCAAGCTTAATGCTATATGCATTCTCTACCAGCTAACCATTAGGTAAAAACAGAAAGCGTATGAAGAGCTGATGCGGTGAAAAGTATATAACATAATTCTCTAAATCTCTAAAACATAAATTTTAGTTTTACGTTGTAATAAAATCATTATTTTATGAACTACTATTTTTAACTAAACTACAACTATATATCTATAACTGATAAGTTTAAATACTAGATCCTATATAAAATTTATTAGATCTAATAAATTTGGAAATTAAAATGAAACTCAGAACTTATGTACCTGTCGACGAATTTCTTCCAGTACAAATGACATTATGATCAACTCTCCCATATATACCACAATCATTAAACCGTATTGCATCTTGTCTCCTTTGGGCTAAAATTAATATATCATTTAGCAAATATAGATAAAATGCAGTGTAATTTTCTAATAAAAAAATTATGATCACTATAGATAGTGCATTACTACATTGCATTACTGCAATTTAAAATGGAAATTTCGCAAGTAATTTATTATCATTTGTATTTATTTTATTGTCGTCAAACAGTCTATGTTAAGTCCCATAATTATAAAACCTTTTTGATTAGAATTAAAACAAAATTGCAACAAAGACCCATTCGTACATACTTATCCATAAAATAACTTTATTCTTTTTTAATTTAAAAGGCAATACCAATAAGTTATCTATTGTAACAAACAGTGAAAGACTACTTTTTTGTAATAATATCAATATAATATTCAAAATTCCACCAAGGCCCAACAATCTAGTAATTAACATACGTAATCCTTTTTTTCTCTGGTAGTTAAGTAAAAAGGTATTAGATACAATTTTTATAAAAGAAATACTAAAAATTAATACCCCAAACATCAACTCGTACAATAACAAACTATCTTCAAATAGATTCTGCAAATAATTTCCACCTATATTAATACCAAACGCTGACTCCATGTCTTTGAATTTTCTGAAACAAAGTACACATTGTTGCATAATTATATTTTTTTAAAGTTCTTATTCATAGAACAAATAGTTATAACAATTTTATAATTGTAGTATGATATTTCTCGGGTGATGTAAACTTCAAGTTATCTCATAACATTTATCCAAGATTTGCGACGTAGAAGACTTTATTTATTTATTTATGAGGAGTATTATAATAATAAAACTAAATGCCACACTATCACAACGGTATTTTTATGGACGGCGGTATTCATTGAGCATCAGGTGAGACGCATATTTATTTACCCTCGTGTTATACAAAAAAATAACACCAATCACCTATCCTCAAGCAATACGCTGTAATATGAGAAACTAGGCAACAAAAATCGAATAGCACAATCCAAAAATATATTAGTTTGACTTCAAATAATATATACTTTAAAATTATAATTTTTTAATATAAATACAAAATCATAACCCCATAGATTACAATAAGAATTATTCAAAGACACAATTAGCGAAGATTATCTTCGCTAATTGTGTCTTTGAATTTGAATCTTATTATATTATATAATATACACGAAATATATATATGAATTATTCGTAAAAGAACCCATGTAATGCGACCTTGTCCGCCCCTCTGTTTCAACAAATACTACTAATACTACGTAATTATTGGTTATAAATTTAAAATAATTTACATCTACACAATCGAAAAGAAAAATATTTTACTTTTTTTGCTAAGTTGTACAAAAGAAGTATTCAAAATTTCAAGGAAACTAATTTCAAAATTGACTCACTAGTCCAAATCCCAACTTGAACTAGTAGTACGTCATTTTAAAGCGCAACTATGGCCCAAAATAAAAAATTAAAGTTTTCAATATGAATAATAATAAATATTAGGCGTCTATATTTATATATTGCTAATAAAAAAGGAACAAATGAATTATATATCATATAGCGCTTTATTTAAGTTACTTTATTACATACATCTTATCTTATAAACATGCTCATATTATTCTACTGCTCTTAAGTCCTGTTATTATTTTAGTAATTAAATTAACCTTCGTGATTCACTGTACATTCAAAATATTAATCCTTAGAGAACGCTACTATATAGTATTGTCTAATTTTTATACCATACTTGTATTCTCATTTAAACAGTAAAATTAATAAAATAAACAAATACTTACTGTGTAATGAACGCGTGATACTTCATCGTTTCAATTAATTCAAATCTCATCTCTTCATTGTTTAGCTTCTTTTGGAATCGTACTTTAATATTATTTTTAAAAATCTCAATGTGACCGATCAAATTGAAAATGAATGCAAAATTCAATGTATCAAACAATGTGATGCTACTGCAACCGTATACTGTCGATATACAACTAACTATATGCATAATAATCCAATTGTTGACATTGTATCCATAATCGAAAGGTGCCCATAAATATAAACACGTCTGTAATCTTACAGTTTTATTTCGTATGAGTTCTTTGTGCGCTATATTATTGATTATAGGCATAACAAACCATAATGCCAAATCGAGAAATAATATGAATCCTATAAAATATCCGGTGATTCTAGTATTGCGTTCAACTTGAAGCACCTTCTGAAAAAACATGTACATTTGTTAAGGGTGCCTTGACCTCGACTTACTGTCTTATCTAACAATTTTAACCAGTATACCTGAACATTTTTCCCAAAGAGAAATATGTCAAAAACATCAAAAAAGATAAGACTACCCGTACTGACTTGATAGCGGGAGAATTAACTAGATGTAGTTCCGTGTTAGTGTGGTTGCCATATTTATAAAAAAAATATCATTTTCCAACTCGTATTTCTTTGAGAATAACTTAAAATATGCTAAAAAATTTAGTTCTAGTTTCAACCTGTTTATACTATAAAAGAACTTAAGGTAGTACTGTTAATAAAAAAAAACTCGCTACACTGTCTGGGATAATTGTAACAGCTTGAATTAGCTTTTACTCGCGACTTCGTTCGCGTGGCCGGGATAAAAATAGCCTATATCCTTCTCCTTATATATTACTTGTATATTATATTAAATTTCAAATTAATTGATCAAGTTATTAAAGCGCTAATAGCTAACAAAAATACAATCTTACTTTGACATTTACAGTATTAGTAAAGATTTGTAATTTCTTATAGATTATTGGAAACGAATTTACTTTATTTCACCGTTGACTACAACCTCTAGTTCAATGACATACTTTGGCTTTCTTCGCAACTCCTTCCACGTAAAGTTTCCTTCAGTAATATCTAATAATATAATTATATAATATGACATAATATATATTACTACTAAGTTTCGTTTAAATACATAAAATATTTGATATAATATACCAAAGGAAGACTTCATACAATAGTCGTCTGCTTAGCTATTTCTGTCTCTTCTGTCATGAAGCTAGTGAACTTACTTGTATATTAACTTACCATTTTGGCAAAAGGGTCTTTTGTAGACTTGTAATAATTGTATATATGTATCTTGGTAAAAAATTCTCCAATAAGTTTTTGATAACTTTTGAAATTGGTCGACAAAATTTTTACCTAAAATTATTAGACAGTGTTATTAAAAATATTAACAATATTAGGTAAGTATTTAAATGAGCCTTACACAGTAATACATAGCTTTATATTTTGAGTTATAATAGCCTTTCGTTTGGGGTAAATCTTATCAAAAAGTATGAGTATATCAAATATATCAAAATTATTACGGATTTTTCATATAGCAACCCTAAATTGTGGCTAATTGAGGCTAGGTAACATGGGTGCATTGTATTATATTTTTGCTTATCTTTCATTTTTTAACCAAGTTTTATTAAAAATTCTTATACCTGCATGAATCAGCAACGAGATCTTAGGTTATCAATAAACTTTACAGTACGAAATAGATTTACTTACATTAGTTATAAACGCTACTGGCCATATAGAGAATATAGTACCAAGAGTATCAAAGCTCAACTGCTTGTAATTTAGAAACAAGAAAATTGTTAGCAAAACCAGAACTCCAGGCGCATATATACGAACTACAGCTCCACTAAATTCTGCCAATAGATTTGTATGGGCCTTCATTTCCCACCATTGTGGTTTACATACTCCAAAGTAATGCATTAAATATGCCATAACATAATAAAATCGCTGTTTAGTTGGGCATTGTCTAAAAGAAAATGTATTATATATTAAAAATCTCTAGTTATCAATAACATAAACTCATCATCATCATTTCAGTCATAATCCGTAGCCTCCCCCATAGACCGTAACAAGGAACTGTCCTGAACCACTTACATCCACTAACTTCTTGCAAGGCATTTGAGGTCGTCATTCTATCTAGTGGGGGTCGCTCTACACTGCGTTTGCTCATACGAAGTTGCCACTCAAAAACCTTTCTAATAATATAAATTAATAGAATATAAATTACAAGTTTCATTTAGAAATTTGTAATCTAGTTTTTATAGTAAAGTATAGACTAATATAACAATCAAACAATGTCCTGAATTCTTTAATTATGAAAAAATATGATTATAATTTAAAAAAAAATATGTTTACCTACTGAAAACTGAAAATCATATTTTACGCCAAACACACTTTTAATATAATAATGTTTGGCATCTATTGAAAAAATATATAAAACAGAAAAAAACTTACAAATAATATTCTTCACCCATTTTACAGCAATGTTTTTGTAACATCAGCTTATGTTATAATGAGAATGAAACTTGAAATTTCAATCGTTTACAAAGGAATTCTTGAAGGTTACATTTGTTTCCATTATACATTATATATACCTTCTATCTTTTTATCTGAACTAGCTATCACCGATTACTTCATCGTTTGCCTCGTTTCACTTTCTTAGGGGTTCATGTAAAAACAGACTCTAGGTCCCTCCCTCAAGTTTTAAAGAAATCACCATATCTCTTGAAAGCAATTAAAAATTGCAAAACATTGGAATAACGACCAAATTCACTTACATGATTATTACAAAAAACAAACATGTAAGCCAATTTGGTCATTTTTGAAGTTTTAACTATAAATTGAGCAAATTGACTTACATGTTTATTTTTTGTAAAGAAAAATCGATTCAAGAAGATCCAGGATCCTATAATACAAGAGCTAAAGTATATAAAATATTTTGAAATACTTCGTCATGAAAACTAGGTGAATAGACAAACAAAGTCACTTCCAGAATTTTAAATGTCGCTATGGACGTAGTGATCAATGTGTTTTTACAAAAGAAAATTGTAAATAATACAACAGTTTTATATTGTACTTTTGTACTAATACACAATATACAAAAATAGAATGAAAAGCAAGCAAAAATGGAAATTATAAAGAAAAAAAAATAACATTCGCATTTTATTGCACTAACATTATAAATGTGACAATTTATGAAAATATTTAGATGTCTCTTTAATCTTATTAAGACGTCTAATTAACTCGTATTCTCGCCATAAATTTTTTCTTGATCGCTTCCTTTCCTTTATCAATATTTCAGCTTATCTGTGCACCTATAAGAAATTGGAGATCTTCAGGATTATCCTCATCCATGAGACAATTTTTTTTTTGTAAAATGGAAACAAGCAAATATTACCTTCATTATTGTGTGATTAGTTAAAAACTCTTTCATTACCTAGACCCTTTATTTCTGCAAATTCAAGTCAAATAACCAAATTATAGGATTCTTTGAAATGTCTGTGTTCTTGCAAGGCTATGTAATTCCACTCTAAATACAGAATATACCACTAATTTTCTTCAATGCTGTATTGTAATTGTGCCATTTCTTATTATGCTTTATTATGCTTGCTGGTCTTTAAAGACATTGGTATACTAATTATATATGCATCTATACTTTTGTGAAAGCTATAATTTTAGCTAATAATAAAAATAATTATCTCGACTTAGCTCACTAGGTGAACATGTGTTACATCCACCGAAATCATCCCAATCCTTTTGTAGGTGTCATATTCCAACCAATCTGGAACAACACCTGAAATGGTTGGGATTCCGACGCAGCTCACTCCCGGGAAAGATGCAGAAATTAGTGCTCTTAGATTCTGTCCGCATAGTACGCCGGTTTCTCTCCTTAGGGCTCTGAACCCCGGCTGATTGTGCTTCTGTCTGGAGTTAGTTTGTCATCTCCTCTCTTTATGAGAGATGTTAATTTTGAAAAAAATAAAAAATAATAATTAAGTTTCATTTCAGATAACTATGATCCATATTTATTAGTAACAATTGACTTAAAAAACCCCTTTTATGGCCCCTATAATAATGTTGATCCAAAACGAGTGAATTGAGATATCGCACTTATAACATGATACCTTTAAAATGCTGTTACTGTTGTCACACAATCGATGTATAAACAAACACAATCCATTTGCGTCTGTCTATACTGCTGCAAACATTGTGGATGCACTACAAAACGTGGCAACCGTAACGACTTCCTGAAAGTGTTATTGTATTGAACACGCAGAGCGTTGTATACCTGCTTTGTAAAATCAACCCACAGGTTGCATAGAATGATTATCAATACGTCATTAAAAATGTTATTTCGACAGCCGAATAACGAGCAAACTTGCAAGCTAATATATTATCCCTTACAGGCAGCGCCTTACATTCACATTCAATATTTGCTAATTGATGATTTAAGTTCTTTAACGTTGAGTTTTCTTAAAAAAAACCTAGTATTTCACATGTGTTAACTCAAAACTAAATTTTGACTTAAGCTAAAGCGTGTTTGTATAGACTTTTCATTGTTTATATTTCTATTCCTTTAAAAAAAATTTCGAGTTATCTTCTGAAGACAGTTATAAAACTTTTATTACCTTATATAGGTCTATAGTTAGAATAAAAGTTAAGTAACAAAATATAAAACTATCTGATTTTAAATATTTGTAATTGAAAATAAATTTCTTATTCTATATTATAAAAAAAGTTTTAATTTAACGACCAGTTTATTGATTTGAAAATTTTATACTATGCAGTATACTTTTTTCTATCGATATCTATTTTATGAATATATTATCAATAGTTGTTACTACACTATAAATATTAATTTATTATATTGATTTGTTTCTTTTAAATGCTTACATAGCTTTAATTTCAAATTTTGGTAATACAAAGGCAGTGCCAACTCTTAAATAACGTAGTGATTAATTGCTCAGTTGATATACCTAACATATACCTGCATTCAAAATCTAGCTGTCGTTGAATTTCGCAATGCCGAGAGAGTTATCGGCCGATTTCGTATTGCTAATGTGTTACATTCATCATCCGAGAACCGACTATATTGGATTTTGCCTTTGAAATACAGTTTTGCGTTTTTGAACTTTCTATTTTTTTTATGCAACTTGGAACAGTAAACAAGCTGACGATCCATTGTATGAAACCGAGCGGTAATCAACGTTTATAAACGAAAACAGCACCATAAACATGATGAAATATATTGTAACGTTCGTGATATACTTTATACGTTGTCATTTCAAATAACATTAATCGTGATTACGTTTAGTCCACACTAAAGGCAAATTTAATCACTACAAAAATTACTAAAGAATCAATACGAGAGCAAACTTTATCAATTACAAAAAGAACTTTGAATAAAGATTGTGTCTCATAAAACAACTGACTTCTATTGTGACAAAACCAGTTATTTTGATTTAAAAACTAAACTATTGAATTGATTTTGATTAAAATTTCAATGGAACTAATCTGTAAGCATAACTTTTCAGATAAAAAATAATTTTCAATATCGGTTTAAAACTGATGGAGTTATGAGGTAACAAAAAAAAACGAATTTTTAAAGTCGGGTAAAAAAGGCCCAGTATTGAAGATGTAACCACAAATCATAATAATAATAAATTATTTAGATTATTTGAGATCTTCCTACGTTTGAAAATCGATTAAAACTGAACAGTTTCTATAATATTACACTAGATGGCAGTAAACTTTCCAACTATACTTTTGCAATTGCTTAACACGATTCAAATAATTTCTTGTCAAATATATTTCATCAGTATAATTTCGCTAATAAACGTTCTAAACAATCAGGTGTATCTGATTTATACAGACTGCAATATATGTATATCCATTTCGTTTGCCCAGTGAAAATTACCAGGCTTAGACGGTTGTTGACAGCTTAATTACAAGTGATAGCATTCGCTCGCCTATTTATATGCTAATACACGACCCTACTATCCAACATCAGGTACGCTTAGTGATTTTACTCGATGTTAATCTATTAAAAAATGGATTTTATTTTATATCTCAGCAACTCGACAGTTTTTTTAATACAACTTAGAATGGCAAACAAGCTAACGACCCACCTGATGGAAAGTGGTAACCGTCGCCTATAGATATGAGCAGCACAGTTATTCTTTTAAATGTTTTTCAACATATATCTATATATTAATACGTAAAGTAAAAACTTTGTACCCCTTTTTACGAAAATTGCGCGGACGAAGTAGTATGAAATTTGGCACACTTATAGTTGATATAGAGAAATAATGCAGAACGCTAATATTTTTTTAATTATCCAAAAAAAAACCGTGAAATCGATAAAAAAAACTACCATGTATTTAACACACGCACGTTTATATACTCTTTTGTTTATTGTAAAAGACTGTGGTCAAATTGAGAATAGATAAATATTATTTTAAAATGTTATTTATCTATAGTTTTACTGAATGTTAAACATAACTATAATAAATTAATTTATAATAATATATGTTATAGTCAAATTTCGACCATTGGGCTGCTACTAGTTTATTATAAGTACACATATATTTATTTCAATGTACTATGTCTAAAATTACATAGTAACACCCTAGTTGTAAACCTAATCGATTGATTTTAAATTATTTTTATATATTGACATAAATCGACTACTTCTTTGGACTTTACGTTTTTTTTTTTTTATACAACGTAGAATGGCAAACAAGCTGACGGCCCACCTAATGGAAAGTGATAACCATCGCCTATAGACATGAGCAGTACCATGGACATAACAGAGTATGCTGTTTCGCCCATGATACCCCCCATGCGTTGCCATTCCTGAGGACTCAGGTGTTATTCCTCCGTACCCAGTAAATTCACGCCATATCCCAACAACCGAAACACAGCCATGCAAACACAAAAATTTAAAAAAAAAATATGCTA